GTCGGAACGGGTATATATCGTCTCGATAGGGTAAAAACAATCGAAACAAAATTTAAGATAGTCGGTGAAATGTTCGCATCAAGAAGAATTATTGGAATTGGAGAAAAAGGAAATTTCAGTTGAAGAGATCATATCTTGAAGTTTGGTAAGGTTTTCGGGGGTACAATCGTATTTTCCGGAAGCAACCTGTGCGTGTTGCTGATGATAAGCTCAACCCCAGATTTCAAAGTGCAAAAAATTTTGCAATGGTCAGGCGTGCTAATACAGACTCTTTTCTATAATGAAGATCTCTAGGATATTTACACAAATGCAGTCAAGTTGGGCCTCAAAACGAGTGTGAAAGTGTATAAGATTGACCAAACCGAAAGTTCTGAAGAAAGAAATATCGAAGCGAGTCAAATTATGTACCGCAATGCACAGTGACTGATCTAAGCTTGTCACTAGTTGTGTCGAGAAAGAGTCGGAAGACATGTATATCAGAAAAGGGTGTGTCTGGGGTAATGTAAACACGACATGATAAAATTTACTAAGAAAGCGGGGTCTACATTGAACGACAATGCAGCTTATCTTTGTGGTATTAAAATAAGACGTGTTACATGACACGGTTGATAAATGTAACTAATTCATCACCTCAGTTGTTAAAGTTTACATTCCAATCACCTCGAAAGATGCAATATCCATCAAACCGGACAACACTGTCCTCTATTTCAGCATGTAACCAGATGTCCTGAGCTTGGTGATTCCAAAGTTTTTATACACTTTTTCATATATCATACTCTTGACTTCATCAATTTTTCCCATACGTGAACAGATTTTACTGGTAATGACGGAAGCAGTCGGTTCGTTGGTGGAACGACGCCTAAGAGTGACCTTCCAACCATCACGATGTTCTATTTGCAGTCCTTGTCCGTTCTTCCTCAGTCGGTTGTAGCCATTTCGCACAAAACGCGCAAAGAACGAAAACTGGTACAGATTGTTAATTCCATTCTTGAAAAGTCAATCGCCAATAATTTATCCACGGGTTTCACTTGTTATAAGTTCATCAGGGCTACAACTTGCTGAGGATGGCATTCTCAGTCGGCTACTTTCCTATTTGAATGATCCCCGTGATTCTCAATAGTTTGCATACAAAAGCAAGCCCATCTTAGATGCTGTGCCTTCTGTCGGTCACTTTATCGCCAAGTTTTTGTATCACTCTACGAAATCCATTCATTGCATATTTCTTGATTATTCATCTGTGTTTGACTCCGAACCTCGACTATCTCTGTTCCACAAATAAATCCTTTAGTGCGAATTCGAATGGTAAAAGATCAGTGCTATCGGTGTGGCCTCGTAGCCTAGCTGGTAGAGCGTGCGCTGTACAAAATCCTTTAACTGTTAAATGTTTGAATAGGAAACAGACTGGTACTGCCAGCGTTTAACGTACTAAGTTCCGTCCATGTATATTGTAAGGTGGTGTCCATTTCCTCTATTTTTCGCTATTTACATTAGTGATTTATCTGCTCCACCCTACTAAACTCCGAAACTGTGCAGATGCTGTCGTATTATGCGAAGCTCTTTCAGTTTATTCTGGGTTCTTCGCTTCATGCGACTACCACTGACTACCACTCAAAATTCTCTCATTCAATTATACTCCAATCTCAATGTGGCACAATGTTCCAGGTACATATTTACTCTAGCGTTCACATTTAACTGTTTTCTGTTGAAGGTTCTAGGGCTTTTATAATGCACTTACCAAGTAACTTAGTGTCTTATTAGATAGTAAAATATGGTCAATCCGTATTCAGAGTACTATTGATAAAATAATACAGACATTCTTCCAAATTCAAAGTTATTGCAATCCACTACTAAACAATTTGTTATTTACTCCTTTGTACATCAGTGTTTCCCTCATTACCCTTTTTGTTACCAAACCAACTTTCCCGGTTTCCTTAAAAAAACATTTCATTGCTTTCCGTTTCGGCTCAGTCATCAGCAGTTGCATTTCATTCCTTCATTTGGACTCTAATCATTAAATTACATGATTCTCATATTGCTTCTTGTGAGTGTTATGCTCCGAAGAGCCTCGTTGACATTTTACATCTTCATTCTGATCTGTCTCTCAATCAAATCCATTCTTCAACAAGGTCCATTTCTCTGCTCATTCATTCTAGGATCAATGAAAGAATCCCCTGTTCCATATGCGACCCATGTTCTACTAGCTAAAGAGAGTTGTTACTGAGCTGCGGATGAAAACTTTAGAATAATATTGACCCACTTTTTCATGCACTTTCGTTTTCTATCCTCCTTTGCAATGATTTTAGGTACTTCTGCGACAGAGTTTAAAGTCTGCAAATGCAAGGCAACAGTATATTACAAAATAAAAATCCTGAACAATAAAATTAACTCACCTAACCTAATGGATCCTAAAGGCCTTGTTCAAGTTTGAAGGGTTTTTGTAGGCAGTCCAATGTTGAATCCATTATTATTGATAATAACGACAATCTAACACTTCCTTCTACTGAATATACAATGGCACAAAAAACTACAGGATGGACTTAATTCCTTCAGGTTCTTCCTGGGGATATGCATAATAGGAAAAAATCAAGTGGTGGTGGTTGAATTCGGACTCTGGCTGGTTTGATTACAACTTAAACCATTTGACCGCCGTCACCTCTCAGTTCCTGAGTGTCTACATCTGCGCAATTTGAATTCGTTCGATTAAGATCAATTGGGAGAAACAGGCATCACCTTTCAGGATATAACGATGCTCCAAGTAAACTGATTAGATGAATCACAAGAGACAGACATCAGCTACTTTGACTGAGTATTACAAGCAGTGGAGATCGTGCATCTTTCTGAGCAAAACCATTTTACCTCCATTCCATATTTTTATCGTGGTAGTACCATAAGCTTTTCGTGTAAATTTATTTGTTTCTTCCGTGGTAGAACAAATGGGTGGCTAAAAGATAGCGACGGAAGCCGATACATGGAAATACACGGCTTTCGGTTAATAATAAAACAGAAAGTGAGCATAATCTACTAGAGCAATAATATCCTCGCACTCATCGAAAAGGAAACATGCACTTAGAGTGAAGACGCTTACCTTCTAAAAGTTTACTAGATGTATCGGCTTTTAATGGAGATGTCACAGTCGCAATGGTTGTCCCCTCTGGAGCGGCCCGGGTGGAATTGGCTTCAGCTGAATCATCCGATTCACGCGTAATGTCCTCAATCAATTTCACGCCGAGAGATTCCTCGTAGTTCAGCCATTCGTCAACATAAGCATTTATGAACAGATTCACAGCTCGATGCACAGGTAATGCATAAAGAGGAACCATTCGGAAACAGGCCATCACAGCACGCTTTCGCTGTGACGACACAAGTTTTTTCCAAGCCCCTTTAGCCAAAGTCGGGGGATGGTCAACCTAGCAAAGAAGAGATGAAACATATGAAGTGAGTGCATTTGAACACTTACATTAGCACACAAATGTTTCTCATATAACCAAGAATGAAATTTTCTGTATCACAACTTTAAATTCGGCACTAGGCAAGCCTAATTGAACGTACCAGATATAAGCCGTGCATCACTTTCGATAGTGTTAGAATCCGATCGACGGTCTCTTCTTTGGTTGATGTTTCTAGCGCTGCATGCCGTCCAGTCAGGGCAATGGTCTTGTCAATCTTTTGATAGAGCAGTTTCTGCCAACGTTGTGTTCGTGGTTCGAACTGTGGTGCCAGAAAGGGTGGATGAAAATATTGCATTGATCTGAGGAAAGCCCTCACAGCAGACAACAAAGTGGAGTTCGCAAACAAAAACCTGCCAAGCACTTCCTTAGTTATTTTAACAGATTTCAAACGAACAAAATATAGATGTATTTCCGGAAAAAATCGTTTACGGCTTTTATTTACACATGCTTACTGATAAGCCGCACGACTGTCAAAAAAGCTTCGCCAAAACACATCTTTCAAATATTTTGCAATTTGATTGGGGTCATGCTTTAATTATCCTTCGAAACTCATGGGAAGTCAATCTTTTTAAAAGTTGAAAGAAAACTGATTGTCTGCTTTCCTCTTGGGTAGCTAAATAAAAATAAAACCTGCTTAAATCGTACGTCTTTCCTTGAACATTCTATTTGTTCCTGATACATGTAACTGATGGGACCCAATGTTTGGAGGCGCTGGTTCACTATCACAATTAAAAATCCGACTATGTTGTTTAAAGCTCTAACCCATTGAATGTACGCCTTTTTAAACCTCAGATCATGACTTTCAAGCGATGGTGCAGAGGCTTAGGTATACAGGTGAAATATTCATACTCGCACACACACCGGATGAACAGAGTAAAGTAATCCACATTAGTCCTTATTGACCTATGATCTAACTTTATGTGGTATTCTGCTGATAAAAAGTACAACAAAAAGTCTGTTTAGCTTTGATATCACTCATTGAAGCCTTTGTTTGTTGACTACATCAAACAAAAGTTCCTACAAAGTGCACGCAGTCATAAAACGCATAAAATAAAGTGTGGTCGAAGCAAACTTGCTTCGAGACACTAAAAATATGTGAACGTAGAGACATAAAACACGAAAAATATTCTTCGAAAACTTACATCTTCTTCACGGTCCAGAGCTGAACTCAAGTACGCTTCAATATCAGCATCGGCCTCACTCTGTTTGTTATTCACATCATTGGAAGCATTGGTGGTAGTCGTCATCAGAGGGTGAACAAATTTGGGAAAAAATAAGTTAATCTGTCGACAAATTGCGTGTCTCTGAACCTTACAACAAACACCCTTTATATACTGCCAGGGGGCATGCGATTCGAAGGGGTCAGCAATTGTTTAGTAAGGTAACAGGTAAGCCAAACGAGAGATAAAGTTGGGTACAACAGAAAGGGCAGCAAAAAGCTAGTATTTAGCAAACGAAGTAGGTTTATCGGGAACATGCGACGCATCGTTGATCAGACCGCCTTAGTCGGCCAAGGGTGAAATGGTCTGGCTCAAACCACTTGAGTGCGTCAGAATAAAGTGAATACAAAAGATGTTGGGTGTTTGATGAGCTTAAGGCATCGCAAGAAATTAATAGTAAGTATAAACAATAAATTTGTTGATGTTCCAATATCAGAAATACAACCAACGATTCAATTTAGTTCCTACTTTTTGTAGAAATTTATTGAGTCTATTAGTTCTTATACAGTGCTTTCATCTTTTTTAATCACCTTATTTTGATAAATGGAAATCTGGTGCAACAGAATCTTATCAGAAGCCCTAGACTTCCTCGAGTCTTAACCTTCTGGAATGGACTTCGAGCTACCACAGCTCTAATCTTGTAGGCTGATGTTACAAAGGAAGGATGTTGCAAAGGAAGGCAGCATGTAATAATGTCATGCCATTTCTATGATAATTTTTTTCATTGCTTCATTTTCAATGGATTTCGTTTTCTTGATCAAATATTTCCCTACAAAATCACCAAAAATCAAATCAAACGGGCTGGGGATTTGTAAAACGAAATGACCTACGTGCAACTATGAGCCGAATTTTCTGCACTTAGTGACGGGACTATCCGTGCCAACGGTTGCTCGGTGACCAACAGAACAAACAGCAGTTGAAAATTTATATGAAAAAATTGTTTTAATTTTTTAATAGGCAGGAATGCGGTTCGACTGATTTTACTTAGTACATGATAATAAGCGCAAAAAGTTTCGGGAGCGATTTTCATGGTAATTTTATAGGCAGAAATATATATATATATATATATATATATATTCAGGAGGCTACTGAGAAAACATATATTAGTCCAAACTCAACCAATGACAGCTAATAAGTTTTAGAGGAAATACACATTAATGGCGAACAGATCTAATAGTGACTACATGATGCATTCATGAAATAACGTCTGTATAAGACGACGGAGTCAGTAGCAGAATGAATAATCCAATGTTACGGTTGACTGTTCAGGTTATCTAATCGTAAGTTATTTTCATTCTGCTCATGATATCATGAAATACATAATCATGAATTGAGATGCGCACATGACTGATTGGGGTATCAGAAAGAAGCTCATGGTGAGGGTCAAAAGTGGGATCAGTCTGCAGGAAATGGCGATCAGAACCAGATGGATGGAAAGCAAAACAGATTATGATCAGTGGGATAGGTAGATAGATCGGAGGCCGCTCCAGCGGATAAAACTACCTGATGCGTACTTTCCATTCTTTGGTCGGCTTCAACAGCTAACGATGCCTTTGGATCGTGAAAAGGAAAGGAAATTGAGCGACCCAAAAACAAATCATCCGTCACCAAAGCCACGCACACACAGGATTAGATCGACACCAAGAGGCAGTTTTTTTGGAATTTCACGACCAAAACAAAGATTGAAAACAGAGGAACCCCCACTGTTTTCCAAAAGGTGTCTAACGGAACTCTTAACACTGCCCAAACTACAGAAAGATTCATGTGTGCACCAAACTACAGCATGCATACCCAAGACCTAGATCTTGGCAACGTAAAACAAACACCTTTTTTTTCGCATCCAAGTCGTTCAGAGGACTAGATTTCGCTAGATGTTTCTAAAGGAATCCAAGTAAAACAAAAGGTGTTCGATAGTATGCGGGTGATTTGAATAAGGGGAACAATGAAAGGAGAGAGGGAGAGCGGTAGTGTTATGTCCAGTGGTACAAGTCTGAGGGCAATGGTTGAACTGATTGTTGGTTTCCAGAATGTAGTGCAGTGCATTCTACTGGAAAGGCTTATAATTTCCACATTCGTGAGATTTAATTCCTTGTAGAATTTGTTTAGTGTGTTACTGTAATCATGAAACTTGCATCTGATCGACAAGGAAGATAATCATACCCAGTGAGGTGGTAGTGTAATGAGAGCAAAGTAAAATATGGATGAGCCATTCTAACACTACTGATGTTCACATTCCGGGTAACGAAAGGTGAAAATGATCGGAATAGCGCGGGGAATATTTTTGAAAAGTGAGACAAACCTCGAGAGTAAACTGTCAGGTATTGAGTACGCAGTTTACAGAGAGGAAATGAGTCAGAGATGAAACAAAGAGAGCTGATGGCATCTTCAGAGTTTTGGGGATTTTTCATCGCTCAAAGGAGCCAGTAGAAGTACATTATAATGATATAACAAAATCCAATATTACCGTAAAAAGTGAATTGAGCCTTATATTAGTAATTTCTGTACAGTTATAACCCCAACGGTAGGGCATTAATTGTTCTTGAAATACATGCATTGCACTCGTATTCAGTTTACACATAGATTTGTTACATGAATGATGCAGAATGCAGAACCCCTTTGACTATTATTTATGGCACCGCGATCTGAAATAAGTGAATATACTTTATAATATATAATTATAATACAAAAACATCTGGTCAAAAATATATACTAACACTTTGGAAAATAACAGAATTAGAACGCGTCTCACAGGTAGACATGTACGAATTACTTAATCTTCAATGTAGTTGCTATCACTCTGGCCAACCAATAAATAAAAACGTTGACTTCCTAGAAAAACTGTTCGATTTAAGAAGATTTATAAATGTCATAGGAGTTGACTGTGTGTAGACGGAAAGGGAAAAACAAACAAGAACCAATGATTCGTCAAATGTTAAGACTTGTTAGAATGTCCCCGACCGAAGACTTTAAAAGGGCCCACAAAGGCAAGTCCATGGCCAGGGTTTTTATCACTTCGTCCGAGGTTAGTTTTCTGATCGTCTACCACCTTCTTCAGCAAAGGTCACACTTTAAACAGAACTGTCGAGTTTGTTGAAATATCCCCACTGCTTATTTAAAAGACCAGTGAGGCGAAGAATTCTTTTCGATTATTCATTCTCAAGCTACTAGATTAATATAGGATCGCAATGAATCTGCCCAAACGACTGCGGCAGATTATGCTTTGCACGGCCGAGGCGGTAGCTATTCGTATTCACCACCCCGGACTGTGCAAACTAAAGCGAATTAGTCACATATTGAGTAGGCCATGGCCCAACGATATGACGTAATTGACGGTTGTTCAGAAAATTAAACGATGACTGAATGATCGTGTTACGTAATTAGCTTAATCAAGTGGCAACAACTCAGTAACCCCCTCTCCCCACCTCGCTTTATTTGGTGAGTGATGACTTTTGTTGTTACCTTGTAATCGTACATTAGTGTAGAAGCTTAAGAATGAATAATCGAAAAGAAATCTTCGCTTAATTAGTCTTTTCAACTATCAAGTTCCACGCGCCATCTATGGAGGTCAAGCATTTAACTAAATGTGCTACCGCGATTACGTGATATTCACCTAATTTTGAAATAGTTTGTTCGGTTGACCCACCAAAAAACGGTTTCAACACCACAGAACGAACCACACATCTTTTCATAATATAGTAGAATCGGCTGAAATGCTATATAAGGCAGCCCTTTGATTGGCCGCTTCCCCCATAATAAAAACAGCATCATGTATTCAATAAAAAGAAGCGAAAATGAGAAGAAAACGAAGAAGAAATACATACGACGACATACGGATTACAAGAAACGGTTTCTTTCAGCCTCATGTGTAGGTATAGAACTTTCCGAGTAGATTTACGGAAAGTCTTACCCAGAGTTGCACCGCCAAGCTCACTACAGGATTCCTTAATTCGAGGCAAGAAAGCCTAATAAATAAACACTGAAGACAATCAGAGATATCCTGTCTACCCTGATCAATACTGCCCGTAAACCTAGACCCACACAGAGAAAAAAACTGAAAACTTACTCGGATCAATTTTCGTTTTGCACACAAAACAAGTTCTTGCTCACGTCCGCCCAGTTGACTCAGACCTGAAGAGACCAAACACATCAACAGTATTACTATTCACAGAAGATCCGGTGATGTCATCAGCTTGCGAAATACAGATAAATCGTTTCTCAAAAGCTAGGAGGCACTGCACAGCTGTTTCCAACTGGTTAGCTTTCATCAGCAATGAGAATCCCTCTACCCGACTTGGGATTCAACATGGAACCTCGCTGATATACCGCAGGTATACCAACCACTACACCTCTCATTACGCTTAAACCAAAACCCGCAATCCTCAGCCTCGACGCATAAGCTTTAGCCATGCTGTTGCAAGCGAGCCAAACCAAAATGTATCATATATTTTCTAAGACTAACGAATGTTGAAAATGTTTCACATTTACCAAAGATTAGTGTTGCAAAGCTTAGTGAACAAATGAGGCATGGCGATCGTGCGCTACGCAGTTGATTGTCGTAATTATATAAACGATTGCAACTTGAATAAACTGATGACAGTGACGGAAGTGCACTTTTGTTAACTTTATTTATCATCCTCAGACTGTCCATGTATGCACTGTTGTAAACGAAGTCCTATTTAATAGTAGTTACGGAACGGTAAGTGTTCAATACTGTTGTACTGCTTTAGATTTGCCTTCGATGGGGGGTGGGTGGCAGAATTAAATTAATTAATTTAATTGATCAATCAATTAAATGGTTAACCAATGGAACATAATGTGGCAAACAAGTTTAATCTTATTAATTTGTAATCACGGCAAAGAATCACAGCAGACATCACCAATTGAGGAGAAGTTTGTCCACAGGAAGGAAGGATGCATGTTATAGATTACTTGGATTGATTTCAACTCGAGTTGTTTGTTCAAATGTCCAACGATGGATATTAATTGAGAAGTGAGTCAGCGAATGAATAATTATTCACCCCCCCT